CCCACTGCCCTCGCAGGTCCGGGCGGTTCTCACAAACAGCCCATCACAAACAGCTTCACCGGGGGCTGCTGCGGGGATGCTGGGGAGGGAGCTGGGTCCTGCCCGCCATTGTTTGTTGTCGTTGCCAAGGTGAGGCTGCAGCGATCGGGGCGGGGCCGAGAGGCGGGGCTGGGGGCGGGGCCTCCCAACCGCGCCCCCGCCCCTCCGGCGCGCCATGGGCGCCCCCTGGTGGCGACGCGCGGCCATGGCGGGGGTGCGGCCGAGGGGACATGGCCGAGGGGACAGGGACATGGCCAGGGCACGAGTGAGGCTTTTGTCACCCCTCACAGCTGCGAACCGGCTCCATCGCCCGGTCTGGACGGGGCACAGGTGTCTCCGCTGCCTGCAGCTGCCGGCCAGCCCAGGTCAGGGATGTCGGCACAGCCTCTCAGGTGCTCCCACCTTGATTCTGCTGCGGGCTCTTTCAATGTATTTATCGCTGTGATTTCAGCCAAACGCGGCTGCTGCTGCTGCCTCCACCACTGGCCCTGGGAGGTTGCAGCCCTGGGGCAAACAAGCAGATGGGGAAGTATAATTCTCCGTCAGGCCATGCAAGGATTTGCTGATCTACAGCACAAGGGTGAGATGAAGCTGCTGCCCCAGGAGCCAGCAGGTCTGCCCATAGCTAGGACTCCCAGCCTCCTCTCTGGAGCCTGGAAGGACAACAGGTTCCTGCCTCCTTGGTTTTCAGCATCTGTCCTTTCCAAGATATGCACTTTTGCCCTCCTCTCTCCTCCTGTGGCTTTGCAGATGCCAGTCCACCAAAAGCATTTTCAGGCTGTGGGTGTAGCCAGGTCCTGTGTGAACTGTGAAGTACTTGAATGGCAGCCTTGATCACACTCTCATTTTTTAAATATAGTTAAAACAGCACTGTTCCCTCTATCCAAAACATGCTGTGATCCTGTGACAAAATCCAGAGCCACCCAGCCCAAGGCAGCTCTCCTTGTGTGACCACATACCTTGCTCAGCTTTTCCATTTTAACTGTACACATGTAGCAGATTTTTTTCATTCACAGCCTGCCAGTGCCTGCCTATGGCTATTTCAGTTACATTTTTAGTAAGCTTTAAGAAGAGTTTAAAGTACTTTTTAAATGATGAAATGTCCTCTTTTCCAGAATTTTTTCTCCTTATTTCAACAACACTCATCACACAGTAGTCTCACCCCTTGCAGGACTCACAGATGCTCTCCTACATTCTTCCAGGAGGTTTTCCCTATGTGTTTTCCAATGCTTCATGCAATTGCTGTGCACAGGCAGGTTTCTTTCTTTTTTTTTTTTTTTTTTTTGTGAGTCTTGTGGTCTGACAAGGAGAAAAAGATTTTTTTTAAATTAGGAAAAAAATTATTTTAAAGAAAGGTGAATACTATAAGGAGTGGAGTGAGAGGGGCTACTGCAGATAACTAAATTAACTTGAAAAAATTCAGAGGAGCAGCCCCTGGACAGACAGTGCCCCATCACCACTTTCTCTGTGAAGGTACAATGTGTTTCCAGAGTAGCTGAACAAAGAGTAGGAACCAAGCTCCAATCAGCCCCCCTAAGTCCACCATTCCATGGAAATCACAGGCAAACCCCAAATAAGAATAATGGCGTGTTTGGCTTGGCAGAGGCTCAGTGTGAGTTGTGCTGACAAGTTAAAAAATGAGGTTGTAAAAATAATGAAACTGGAAGAATGTTGTTGTTCTTTTTTTCCAGCTGCTTTTTGAGGGCCTTAGCAAGGCTAAGCAAGCTCTGCCATCACTCAGCCACCTCATACCTGTGCTCTCATAGCTGGCAACTACCAACACCTTGCTCAGGACTGAATAAAGAGAGAGAAATGCCCTCTGCCTCCCACTGGCAGCCAAAAGGCTGATTTTACCTACACAGGGTTAAACGGTGAAACACCAATAAAATCTGAAAAAAAATCTGAAGCAGTGAAGTTTTTTCAGAATCACTGATAAATTTGTATTAAAATCTTCAAGGCATTGCCAGGATGACTTCTGCTACACATACCCAGCCCTGTTTATTCTCTTTTGTCCCTGACCTGGGCTCCTCAGAGAACAACACATTGTACTGTGGTCCCTGCATATTCCTGCTGCAAGCTCCCCTGTGGCACGAGGATCACAGCAGAATAAATCCTGTTCCCTGCTGCTACAGGCTGCAGTGTGCTTCTGTGGTCACAACCAGCCACTCCTTCCAGAAAACAACTTCTCCTTCCCTCCTTGAGAGCAAATTGCTCTGACAGATGACACAGGACTGAGTTTGGCATCAGCTCTGTGTAAACACAGGAGCACAGGGCCTTTCCTGGGGTGCGGTTCTGGCCATGGCCTTTCCTGCGAGAGGCATTTCTTGGCCCATGATGGTCCCTGAGCCCTGGCAGATGGCTCCACCGGGCTGTTCCCTGCCACTGCTCCAGCCCTGGGGCTGACACACCCACAGGGGAGATGGGGCACTGTGCCAGTGCCTGCATGGCACCAGCGGCTGCTCACCTCTCCTGCTGCTTCCTGACCTGCAGCTCTCTGCTGGAGGGGGACATTCCTTGCAATGAGAGAACAAAAAAACATATAAAGAGACAAAAAAAGCAGTTCTGAACTCCTGTCTCTCTCTGTTACTTGGCACCAGGCCTGGGTAGCCAGATACACACACAGGCACTGCACCCTGTCCCTGCTGAACAACAGCCTGCAAGCTGTCCCCAGGCTGTCCCCAGAGCTGTCCCAGCCACCACCACAGCCAGCCAGGGGCCACCAGCAGCTGTGACTGACCCCATGCATGAAGGACAGCCTGGCACGGCCCACAGGGCAGTGGCAAGAAGGGCCTGCACAGCCAAACTCAACCTTGAACAAGCCCAAAGGCAGCACCTTTTCAACTCAAAGACAAATTTAGTCTATGTGGTAGGGCTGAAGCCTTGAAGCAGATGATGCACAGGCTCAGCATGACTCAATTATCACAATTAGAAAGGGATTCAAACACGGGGTTAGTGTACAACACTGGCTCAGAGCTCACCAGGGTCTGGGATGGGTCACATATTGAAACTGGTATTCACCAGCAGGTCAAACCCAGCCTCTGAGATGAACCCATTGGAGAGAAATTTTTGGCCTGGAACAACTTGAAGCCCAATTATTTCCAAACATAAGGGACATATGCATTTATTTCTTTCCCTCCCTTTACCAGGAGAAATTGCCCTAAGGGAGAGAGGGAAATAAGAGCTGCATGTGTTATTAAGGAGGCCGACTGGAGTTCATTTATTCTGTGTGACACTTGGAAGGACAGTGACAGCCATTCCCAGCAGAGGAACCAGGGAGTCCCCAGATGCAGCACTGCTGGCCAGCCTTTAATTAGAGGTGGCTGTTCTGCTCAGCCTCTCGTGTTTCACAGTTGCTTCCCCCTGAACATGCCTACCCAGCTGCAGGCCCCAAAGCCCAGCTCTTTGGAGAAGGCCAAGATAAACAGGCTTTTCCTGGAGAGCAGAGGGACTTGGAATGTTTCCCTGGCTGGAAACATGAGGCTGAGGAGGTGGAACCCACCCCTGCAGGCATCTCCTGCTGGGCTGCTGGAAGAGAACACCACTGTCACCGAAACACGGTGACAAAACTACCTGCTTGTGCTAGGATATGCTTACAGGGAGAGTTGCCAAATTCACAGGCATTTATGTATTTACCTACATAAATCAAAGAGAAATTGAAGTAATTTGCCAAGAAAATTTCCATGACAGGAATTTGGGGGTGGGGGCATGGTAAGGGAAGAAAAGGAAGGCTAGCTGAGAAATTATGCTGTTTTGAACATAGCACACCAGGAGACATCCCATTCTATTTAGCCTTTGCCAAGGGGCTGTTTGACTCCATATCCAAACACGTAATTTAGGAAATCCTCTTCCGATACTTGGCAATCTCAGGCCAAATCAAAGAATTATCTCTGTGACTCTATTAGGATCTCAAAGAAAGATTGAGTCCTGGATCACATTATGCAAACATGAAAGGTCTGCTGTCCCACAGGGCTCACAGGCAAAAGCCCTGCTCTGGCAATCACAGCAGACAACATCCGTTCCTCGCTTTTATCTGCCTTAGATATTTGAGAATAAAGTGTCAATCACCTCTTCCCCAGTCATGTGTTAAACCACTAACATTTTCCTTTCCCCAGCTGCCTTAAGTCAGTGCAGGGCTGCTTACCACGCCTTGGCTACCTGCAGCACTTCTACTCTGGCATCACCTAGCTGTCAATTATCTGCATTTTTTTAGCAGAAAATTTGGGTTCATCTTAACTCTATTTGTGTTAAACCTCACCTTCCAAAGCAACAAGTGCCAGGCCAGCGAGATGACCTGTACCAATTTGAGGCTCATTAATTCAAGAGCATAATCAAAACCATCAAAGTCCTTCCCTCTGCAGTGCCTGGTGCTACATCCCAGTGCCATCCACGCTGACAGCTCCTCTGAGCCATCTCTGTGCCCAATACTTTCCAATGCCTTCCCATGCTGTGCCCAACACTTCCCAATGCCTTCCCACTCCTGTGCCCAACACAGGACTGACAGCTCTGGCCCCTGGAAGCCCTGGCATGAACCAGCCACTGCTAAAAACATGGAGAAACAGAGCTGCTCTGTGCCGTGGCAGAAGACGAGGCTGAGGAGCACCTGAAAGCCCTGAGCAACCCATAATATTTGTAATAGTTGTTTTCCCGCTCTTTTTCGGGCAGAAAAAGAAATGGGAAATCTCAGCATGGCCAAACAAGCATCGCTTGACCGGTCCCGCAGCCTGCTCAGGCCTGGGAGCTCAGCACGGGCAGGGACCCAGCGCCCAGTGGGAACAGCCGAGCTCGCCGATAGGGCCGGGCCGCCGGGAAGCGCCGGAACTGCGCGAAGCCGAATCCACCCCTGGACTCCGGCAGAGCCCGCCCAGCTCTCACCTCAGGCCCTGCGAAAGGCGGGGAGGAGGGGGCCGGGCCTCCAGCGCCGGTGGGCGCCGCCATCGCGCGCCTCCTCCCCCACCGGGCGCCGCCATCTTGTGCCGTGCCCGTACAGCGCGGGCGCCGCCATCTTGTACCCTCCCCGCGCGGTGTGCTGGCCATGGCGGGGCTGCCGTGCCGCCTGCTGCTCCTCTGCTTGGCGGCCGCCGCCACCAGCGCCGATCTGGTGCTGGAGGAGGTGCGGCGCTCGCTGGACCTCAGCACGCACCTGGCCAAGATCTCGGCCGAGCTCAGTCTCGCCAATGCGCCGGGCGGCGCGGCCGCCTCCACCTTCCTGCTGGCGCTGGAGCCCGGGCTGGAGCCCCGGCTGGCCCACCTGGGCGTGCAGGTGAGCGAGGGGAGCGGGCACCGAGCGCCGCGCCCGGGGGCCCGCGGGCGCTGCCCGGCCCCGAGCCCGTAGGGACACGTCGGCACTGCCGGGTCCTCAGCGCCGCTCCCGGATCCCGCCGCCGGCCGGGAATGGGGGTGTGTGCCGCGGGGTGAGGGCCGGGGTGGCAGGCCTGGAGGCCATGAGGGGGGCGATTCACACCGGCAGGCTGGGCTAGGGTCGCCGCCAGCACCGACGGAGCAGGGCTGGCAGCCCCAGCGGACGGGGGCACGGCCCTTACCCACAGGAGGGGTCGGAGGAGCAGTAGGACAGTATTTCTGTTCTAGCCTCAGAGGTTCTGACACATAGGATAAACTCTACATACAGCAGAGAGAGGTACATGCACTGCTCTATAATATGTGTGTGTGCAGAGTTCTGTAGTGTACCTTGATGGGTGAAGCCATATTCCCGTGGTCTGCTCACTCCCCAGTCGCAAGGGAAATCACAAAAGCATTTGATCGATATTCTCATCTGTGCAAGTTATGGTGACTGTGCTGGCTTGGGAATCAGGCTGAGGTAGCATGGGAACACACAGTGCACTGATTCCATATGTTGTTCGGGAACAGGTGAAAGGCGAGGAAGAGGAGGAGAATGCCTTGGAAGTGAAAGAGACCAAAGTTAAGGGCAAAAGGTGAGTATCACCCTCTGAATACCTAGAGGGGTGCATGGGGGGTTCATAACTCCTCACAGTGAAGCAGAGATACTCCCCCAGTTCCACACACCTAGAGTTCAGGAGTGTTTTCTTCCTCAGCTCTGCTCAGTCTCCTGTACTCAGTGCCTTGAGTAATGCCCTGATCCCCTGGGACACCAGGTGAGAGAAGTATTTGGTCATGCTCTTACCCATTCCTCCATTCTGAGCTCTCAGATGGTTGGCAGTGGTGACTACAGAGGGTTTCATGGTACCCCCACAGAGTGCTGGGTGCCATGGTCCAGTGCAGGCTCTTCCTGCTGCCAGGAGAGAGGATGCTGTTTGTATCAGGCTCTATACTGCCAAGCTTGGAATATTATGTAGGTGTTGCAGGCAGGTGTTTTCTGAGCCATGAGAGCTGAGAGGTGCCTGTAAAGTGACTCAAAATCACAGTGCAGCTGGGTTTGAAGAATACAGTGCCTGTGGAGTTAAGATGCCAGGGTAGACCTTGGCTTCTGACATGGCTGGATGTCTCATGTGATCCTGCCCTGGGCCACCAGTCATGACATGAAGCATGTTTTCTTCTGCCATCACCTCGGTCTGTCCAGTCCAAATCCTTACATTTGGGTTTGGTGGAGTCTCAATCCATTCTGTAGAACCCTATTCCAAAACCTTGCTCCCATTCTGGCCATTCCTTAATTTCAGATCCTGTGGGCAAAAATCTGAGAAGGAACCGACTTTGTGGGAACAGGTGCTTAAGATATTTGTGATTTGTCTTCTGGACTTGTGCCATGCTTCCTTTGATGCAGATCATTCCTGTCATCTGAAGAAGAATAGAAAAAAAGTCATACTGAAGCTTTATAAATGCAGGATTAGGGAGGGGTGTGTCACCATTCCTCTTCCCAAAAGGGATCTAGGTGTTTTTTTGTGAAGCAAAGACTGTAACTGTGCCTGGACACAGTTGAGCCTGTGCTGCTTCCCCAGTACAGTAATCACACCTGCTGGGACAGGACATCTCTATGTCTTGGAGGAGCAAGTGAAATACCTGCCCAAATCACACATTACACACATGATACGTGGTCCCCTGTCCCCAGGGGATGTTGCAGGGGGTGGAGCTGATGCCCTCTCCAGGGAGATCCCACGTGGCTTACCTGTTCCTCTCCCTTGCAGTGGGAAGTTCTTCTCGGTGAAGCTGCCCTCTCCTTTGGCCCCAGGAGCCAAGGTCCGTGTCTCTGTTGAAATGGTTTTCACACACGTCTTGCAGCCCTATCCCACCCACATCACCCAAAGTGAGAAGCAGTTTGTGGTCTTTGAAGGAAATCACTATTTTTACTCCCCGTACGTCACCAAATCTCAAACAACCCGTGTCAAGCTGGCCTCCAGGAATGTGGAGAGTTACACCAAGCTGGGCAACCCTTCCCGCACCGAGGACACGATTGAGTATGGCCCCTTCAAGGACATCCCTCCATACAGCCAGGTAAACTTCTGTGCAAAGGGTTGTGGCTCTGCACAGAGCACTTTGTAGACGTGGAAGATGTGTCTCAGAGGCTAGAGAGTGGGAAGCAGAGGCTTCCATGTAGAAATCACAGGTCAGCTGTGAGTTAAACTGTGTGCATCTGCCAAGGAGGGTTCTCTGTGGCACGTGGAATGGATCGTTGTGAGGGGAGCTTGCTACTTCCTTTAGATCTGACAGTTTATCTTTTTTCCCTTGTTAGGACACTCTGAAGGTGCACTATGAAAACAACAGTCCCTTCCTGACCATCACCAGCATGACACGAGTCATTGAGGTGTCTCACTGGGGTAACATTGCTGTTGAAGAGACAGTTGATTTGAAGCACACAGGAGCAGTGCTGAAAGGGCCTTTCTCCAGATACGACTACCAGAGACAGCCAGACAGTGGGATCTCTTCTGTCAAGTCTTTTAAGGTGGGCATTTTGCACATGTATTTTTATAGCTGTGACTTCCCCTTTTCTTAGATCCCCAGAGGGACAAAAAAAAATTGCAGTTGTCCTTTGTCTTTTGTTTGGTAACTATACCTGAGTAATAAGGGAAAATTAAAACTCTGGTCTATTTTCAGAGAAAGCTTGTGCTGGATAGGAATAGCTTTTGGAAGCAGCATTAGGAGGTCATACTCTATTGCATTTGCTGGTCCAACAGACTGCATGTAACAGAGCATATAGTGTTTTTCCACACTCCAACCCCTCCAATCTCAGAGGCCCTCTAAATCCCTTACTCTTGATATTGAGATCTCTGCTTTGGCTTTTCCATCATGCAAGGACCATTCATTCTGTCCCCACCCCTTTACTTTCAGAGTTGCCTCTCTGTCATATCCTCCTCATGTTGAACAGTATTAATTGGAAACTCACCCATTCATTCCTTGCTCACAAAGCACACAACAAGAATTAAAGCTGTGGCTCTGCTAGCCAGGTGTAAAAAGTATTATGTGTTCTCATCTAAACCAAAACCTTTCTCACTGCTTGTAGCCTTCAGGATTGATTGTTGTAATTCTCTAGGGTGGTGCAGCCAAACAGAAATCTCATTTTGTTGAGTGTAAAGCTAGCAAGCCCAGTCAGCTAGGGCAGCAAGTTGGAGTGAAAAGGGAATTGCTGTCCTGGTGGGCATGATGACTCCTTGCTGTCTGGGGAGTTTGAAACTCAGCTGGAGAAAGCACATTCATTTGGACGCCAAGTGATTTTAGTGCTGGCAGCCACCTGTGGGATTGCTTATAATGGCACAATTTTACCACTCAGTGCAACTGAATGGCCATTTTGTCATGTCTCGTGGGAGCACAGTTTCTCAATGCTTACCAGCCTTTATTGGTTTTGCCAGTTTCACTGGAAGTCACTCCTCTCTGATGCACTCACTGCTGCTTCTCTCCCTACAGACCATTCTCCCAGCTGCTGCTCAGGACGTCTATTACAGAGATGAGATTGGGAACATCTCCACCAGCCACCTTCTTGTCCTGGATGACTCTGTGGAGATGGAGATCCGTCCCCGATTCCCTCTTTTTGGGGGCTGGAAAACCCATTACATCATTGGCTACAACCTGCCAAGCTACGAATACCTCTACAATCTTGGTGGGTGGCTGAGGGGGGAGGGAATAAAAAGCATTCTCCTGTGTGTTTGAAGGTAGTTGCTGTACAGAAAAGAATTGAAAGCTGTGGTACACAGGACCTTAGCAACAGCAGTTGCCAGCTATTTTTTCTAGAATATGCAAATCTACCTTTTTTGTGCTTCCTTCAGGTTTTGTAGACATCTGGTTAAAATATATCTTAGTGAGCTAGTGCCCCCTGCTGCACAATTATCCATGCAAATTCTGCTCCTGCTCTGGGTGAGAGCTGAGTTTCAAGGCTGTCCCTTGTTCTCTGAGGAACTGTTACCACTCTGCTCTGCACTTTTAGGTGATCAGTATGCCCTGAAGATGAGGTTTGTTGACCATGTGTTTGATGAGCAAGTTACAGACTCTCTGACTGTCAAGATTGTCCTGCCAGAAGGAGCCAAGTAAGTGTGATTCCTCCTGGCTTGTTACTGCAGACAGTGCTGTGTTGGTGGCACTTCTCCAGTTTGCTCTAATGGCCTGGGGACAGTGAATCAAGACCATGACTGTGCATTTGGAGGAAGTCTTGGAACACATCTTTGCTTCCTTGTAGAGCATTGTTTAAACTGCATAAGCTACCTTGTGCTAGAGGCTACAACTGCCCAGACGAGTCTTGGGTTACATACTGTCAAACACCACAGAGTCATATGGGACTGTCTGCTTTTACCCACAGGAATATCCATGTGGACAGCCCCTATGAAATCAATCGTGCCTCAGATGAACTTCACTACACATATCTGGACACTTTTGGACGCCCTGTTATTGTGGCACACAAGAGCAACCTGGTGGAGCAGCACATCCAGGACATCGTGGTGAGTGTGGCCCTGAGCAGTTGTGCCTCTGAATCCAGCAGCTCAGTCAAAACACCTAAGAAATAAACACTGACTGGACTGCTTGGGTGGTTCTGCTGCCGCTTGAGGAGAGGAGTAAACCCTGCAGTACCATGGGGCACTGCTCAGTGTTTGGAACTTCTCTTGTAGGTTCATTACACCTTCAACAAAATCCTGATGCTGCAAGAGCCTCTCTTGGTAGTTGGAGCCTTTTACATCTTGTTCTTCACTGTGATTGTCTATGTCAGGCTGGATTTCTCCATCACCAAGGTTTGTATGATAAAGAGCCCTGTGGGAATATAAGCAGATTTCTCACCAGTTGGATGGTGATTTTTCATACCAGTAATTCTCACTGAATATTCCTGCCACTCCAATGTTTTATTGGTTGTTCGAAGTCCTGTTTTTGTTCAGCCTCAGCCCTGGTACTCGTGTAGGGCTGATCTGGTGTCATAAAGCTAACTAGAGTTTTGCTTGCTGTGTAAAAAGGAATCCCCCAGAGAAGAAGGGATGTCTGCAGTTCTCCCTCTGCAATGTTTTCACTGTTAGACTATTTGTTGGGCTGGACTGAGTGCTGAAAGATGCTTCCCCTAATCAGCACTTGCACCATTCACTTAATTACTGTCAGTTGACTTAATTGTAGAGGGAACAGTTTTTATAACAGTCCTGTGGCAGATTGCAGGCATGGTTTGATGCAGGTCAGAGATATGACTGCTTTGATCTATCCCCTGTCCTCTTGCAGGATCCAGCTGCTGAGGCCAGGATGAAGGTTGCCTGCATCACAGAGCAGGTGCTCACTCTGGTGAACAAGAGGCTGGGGCTGTACCGCCACTTCGATGAAGCAGTGAATAAATACAAGCAGTCACGGGACATCTCCACCCTCAACAGTGGCAAAAAGTCTTTGGAGATGGAGCACAAGGCCCTGACAAGTGAAATAGCCTCTCTGCAGTCTAAACTGAAGACAGAAGGCTCTGACTTATGTGATAAAGTAAGACATGAAAATTTATTTTATAAACTCTCCTGTTCTTGGCTCTGTCAAGTATTCTGCAGGAGTTTTAATTGGAGGTTTCTGCAGCCAGTCTAGGCTGGGTTTTTTTCCATCTGAAAATGGCTTGATCTCTGCAAGGGTGTACGAAAACTTATTTTTGCAGTGATCTCAGTTATGCAGCCATGTAAGTGTTGCTGGTAAACAGCTGCTTGTGCTGTTTCTTAAGCAGTCCTTGAACCAGCTGCATTTGTACAGATTAATGCTTTTGTAACACAATCCTGATACTTCTCATCAAGGTGGTGGTGACACTTAAGCTAAAAATGGAAACTATCAACAAATTAACAGTTCTGACTCTACTACTCACACCAGTCAACCCAAAATCTCTCTCATCTCTTATTTTCTTGCACATTTACATTTGATGCTGACAGAATTTTGGTAATGTGATGCTCCTCTGGGGGTGTTTTGCTCTACCATGTTGAAAGCCACAGCACAAAGAGCACACACCCACTGTCCTTCCCTTCAATGTATTTTAACACTTACCTGAAACAGCCACTTAACCCCAAGTGAGGGACACTTTAGTCTTTAAGATCCATTTAGCTAATAGCCACCTTGGTTAATCTGTTATTTAACTCAGAGAGTAGCTCTGTCATTGCAGATTTCCCATCACACACCATGAACATTAACTGTAGGGACACAGCTTCCAGCTGTTAGAGCTGTGATTTAGCTTGAAGCCTTTAAAATCCATCATTAAATACTCTCACAGTCTCTTGCCACTATGGCTCCTGGGTCCTTGGAGGCCCTTTTATCTGTACTCCTTAGTTACCCATTCTGGAATATTCCTCATAATGTGATGGTTCAGGAAGCAGCATTCAGCAATCAGAGATGTTTTTACTTAGCAGAAGATGAAGTCAGTGCTATCATCTGCCATCTCTTCTATTCCAGCTTCACTGTAAGGATTGTTTTGTTATGTTCTGTCTCCTCTAACGCTGCCTGGGTTTGTCACCCTGCCAGGTGAGTGAGATTCAGAAGCTGGATGGGCAGGTGAAGGAGCTGGTGCTGAAGTCGTCGGTGGAGGCGGAGCGGCTGGTGGCAGGCAAGCTGAAGAAGGACACGTACATCGAGAACGAGAAGATGCACTCCAACAAGCGCCAGGACCTGGTCTCCAAAATCGACAACATCCTCGATGCACTCTAACTCTGCTTTGGCAGCTGCAGAGGTGTGAAGGGAGGTGAGAGTGATACACTTGGAGCCAAAACTCACTCCCAGCAAAATTAGGGGGAAAGTTGATGTGGAATGTCTGAAAGTGCATTTTTTTTTAGATTTTTCTATAGAGCCTGTCTGCTCGGCAGCACGTGCTGTGCAAGGAACCAAGCCAGCGTGTTTGGCTGGGTAATGGGATTTCTTTACCAGAGGTGAGACTCAGCCAAGTTATGAAACATCTCCTGCTTTTGGTTTGCCCTGTATAGATGTGCTCTGAGTAAACGCACACAAGGAGCCACTCTGAGCACAGAAACACTTATGGCAAAGCTGAATCTCTCAGCTCTGGAAAGAATAATAAAAGATACCTTTGTTCTACTTTGAAATAAAACAGTCACTGCCTTGTGTCTATGTGTTGTGTTGGGCTGGGGGGAGGTGGAGGGGCTGGGTGACCCCATCCTGCCCATGGCCAGGAGTGCAGTTCACTGTGGAGCAGAGTTCAGCCCTGACCACTCCTGCCTGTGTGTGCCCTGAAATCAGAGCTCTGCCACCTCACACAGCCCTGACCCAGACAGGGGAGAAGCCAAGCTTTTGTTCCCCAGGGATGTGCATGCACCTTCACCCTTACAGGGAGAAAACAACAGAACTTGTCCTGCCATCATCTTCCAGTGTGCTGCATGTGACAAAAGTCCCTGCCTTGTTTGTGCTGCCCGTGTAGGTCCTTACTCACACTTTGATGCCTTGGGAGGTGAATGCAATCCCCTGCTAATAGCAGTCTCCAAAGATTTTTTTTCCTGTGCACCTTTGTCTCAGTTCACTGTTGAATACCCCAGACATGGCTGCAGGGACAGCATTTACCTGGCATAGTTAGAGATCCTCATACAGAAGAAACCAGAAGGGCAAAAGGGGCTGTGTTTCCCTCTGTTTGCCCTGAACTGCAGGTGGTGGCAGCTGCCCCTGGATGGCTATGTGTGCAGGGCAGGGGTGGTAAGGGGTGTGTAGCCTTCTCCACTGGGCACTCGCAGGCTCTGCAGAGACTGGAGGCTGCCTGCAGACCAGGCAAAGCACGTGGCTGCCCCACAGAGCAGTGGCTCATGAGGAGATTAGTGCCAAATGTGGCTGTGCCAGTGAGTGAAGGTTTGCCACCGTACTGCACTGGCACCCTGTGTGGCACACTGGCTTGAGGCAAATACAGCCCCCTTGGCTCAGTGCTCCTGCAAGCCTGTGCTCGGATCTGCACAAGCTGCAGGAAACTTTCCAGCCCTTTGCCAGACTACCTGCTCTGCTGTCCTTCTGCCCTGGACCTACACAGCCCAGCTCTATCACAGACAGACTTGACTCGCTCCATACTGGCCCCTTTTATCTGAGACAAAAGTTGTCTCTATCCTCTCCTGGGATACTTTTCTCATGCAGAGGATGCAGACCTCTGCCCCAGAGCACACAGCTTCCAAAGGGGTTTGTTTGTCAGGAGCATTTTTCAGCAGGCCTGAGCCCAGGTGCCCACCACATTGTCGCCAGGTGCCAGCTCTGTCCCATGCCCACAAACCTCACCTGGCAGCAGAGTGAGCAAGCCTAAATCCCTGCCTATCTTCTCCCTGTGCAGGTGCTGTGGAGCACCCTGAGACAGTGAGTCCTGCCTGACCAGCTGCAAATAGCTAAAATCAAATAAATTGTCATTAATCCATGGAGCCAGAGCACACACCATACTCAGGGAGTACCAGGGCAGCCAAAGCCAGACAAGGGCTGCCTGTTGCACCTAGCCAAAGCAGGCAGGTCCAGAGGATAAGAGGGATCAAATTGGTGATCCCAAAGATACCCTCAACTCTCCATTCCCCCAGCAGAGTAAAAGCAGTGCCACGTTTCAGAAGATACCACTTCTGCCTGGCTGGAGCCACAGCTCAGACCCCTCAGGGTACACCGGAGCTTGTGGTGCCTGTTAGAAAGCTCTGTGGGGTTGACAGTGCCTGTGCCTTTCTACCCCAAGGGGATCTGATCAATCAGCATACACCTCACCCCACAAAGCTACTGGGCAGCTTCAGATACTGCTTGTTGATGGAAACCACATCTGCAAAGGCAGCAGCTAAAAATAGGATGGATGCAGGCAGCCCCAGCTAGAAAGGAGAGCTGGAAAGGTCCCCAAAGAGAGCTGCCCCAGTTCCTGAGGCTGAGAATAAAGCAGCCTGTGCAGCAGTGATGCCTCAGTGCCCTCCACACAGCTCCTTTCTGCTGCCCTCCCTGGGGGGATGTGCCTTCCCCACTGTGCTCCCTTAAGCCCTTTCTGCCCCAGTGCTGTTCCTGCAGCAGCACATACACCAGGGAACCTTTTAACAAACACACAGCACCAGGGTGACCTAGAAACCTGAGCCATTTCTAGATTCCTGCAAATTTACTACTCTGAATAAATGAGAAATAAAGGAAAAAGCACAGCACCTACCGGGAACTTAGGATCTGCAGGAGGCAGGGAAGAGGCAGAGCAGCAACACCTGATGTAGCAAATGGGCCAATTAGGGCTCTAGCTGTTTGTCTCTGCCAAATTTAAAGCTTCCAGTCCATGGGGTGGGGCAAAGGATGAGGATTATTGGGTCAGGAAGGTTAGCACCTGTTTATCTGCTGTTTCCTCATCAGCTCTGAGGGCTCATGGGGATCTTCAAAATCTCTTTCCCATGGCTGGAGTTTACAAACTGTAAATACATCCAAGGTGGTTTTCAAATGATCTCCCTGCCCAGACTCTATGATGTGCCCAGGTAATGCTCCTTGCCAGATGTGTGACCCAAGGTGCCCACTGAGGACAGGAAGGAGCCACTGCAGGGCAGCCCAAATGGAGCTGTCAGGGAGCTCAGTCTCTCATCCATGTGGCTCAGGTGGGGCTTGCTTTGTTCCTCCAGCCACTGTCACCATGCTAGCTTCTGCCACCTGGGCCACTCCAGCAGGTCCCTGGCCAGGGCTGGCCTTGCTGGCACCATTTTTGGCTGGCTTTGGGATCTCCCTGAGCTCCAGCTGCTGCTTTGCAAGGATATCCTTTATTTCTTCCAGACTTGGCAGGTGTGAGGAACTGGAGCCAGCAGGTTCCCAAAACATCACAGCCAACACTGGGCAGGGATGCAGGCACTGCCACTAGGGAATCCAGGCACAAGGGCTCCTCCTCCTTTCAGCCACACTCATGCCATTTAACCTGAGAGCTGTGGGCAGGGGGAATCCCTGCCTGGTGGAGAGGACCATCTCCATTTTCCTGCTGCCTTCAAAACCAGCCAGGCCTTCAAGAGAGAGGTGGGAGCTGCTGAAGGACTGTCTCTGCTGCTCTTCACAGAAGCTTTTCTGAGACAGAAAGTTCACTTGTGATCTTGCTCAGAGAAAATAGCCTGTGGAGGTTGTTAGGAGTTGGGAGGCATCTGCCAGGGGGATTGCAGAACAGCAGAAGGAAAGGCTCAAATATAGGAGCACTTGAGACCCTCCAGCAGATTAACATTATCTCACATGTAATTAAAGCTGAGCCCTTCTGGGAGTTCATGTTTAGTTTTATTCTTGTTCAGAGTTTGGAGCCAACAGGTTGGAAGGGCTGAAATTTGCCTCTACAGCAAAAGAAACGAAGAGAGAAGAAAAAAAAGTGTACGGAGCAGAAGGAAAAGGAAACCACACAAATGCAAGATTTGCTGGTGAAAGCGAGCAGCCATGATTTCAGATCCCAGCACAGCCACCTGCCTTGCACAGACATCTCACTGCTCCCACCACCTCCCCACACCTCCCCTGCTCACCAGGGTGATACCCACAGCTTCTCCTGTGCTCCCAGGCAGCCAGAGAACAGCTTCTCCCTGTTTGACTTCTTGTTTAGAGACTTGCAAAGGAAAATCTAGACCTGAAGACCAGCCCAGGAGGTCCAACCCATCTTCCAGTGAATGCTCAAATTCAAGGGCTGGAAAAAAATCAGGTTTTATACTAAGTGCCTGGTAACTCCCACCCACAGCTTGTGACCCCAGCCAGCCCTTCATCCATCCTCTGTGGGTGGGGATAGCCCAGTACTATTTCCATACCATGGACCCTTTCTCCCCTCCCATGCTGACACCTCCCCTCTGCTCTGCAAGGACCAACCACATTTTATTTATTTTTCATCCAGCAAAAGAAAATCACTGGGCTTAACTCAGAGAAAATCCTGCAGGTCTGTGGTTGGCTCTGGGGCTGCCAGGTCCCTGCACACCTTGGGGAGCACATACAAACACACACCTGTTTTATCTCTTCCAGCTGAGCTGAGCCTGCCACCTCAGCAGGAAGCAGAGCTGGAGCACGTGCCAAGTGCCATGCAAGCAGTGATGCTTTAATGCTGCCTGCTGCATTACAGCCCCAGGGAGCACACCCTCATCACAGCTGGGCACACCCTGCACCAGCACAGGGAGATTTGGCAAGTCCTCAGGGTCAGCAGCATCCATGGTCTGTCCCCTTCATCTGTCCATGGACCATTCCTGCAGTGGGGCCCACAGCCTTGGGTACCCCATCCCCATGGCTGACCTGGTGAGCATTCCCTGCCAGGCTGCACAAATGGAAAGACAGATTTCCCATCTTCTGTTCCACCATTTCCCTCCCTCCAACCCCAGTAATGCTGCCTGCTTCCCAGTCTACCCAGTCTGTCAGCACCATCTGGTGGCTTTGGACCAGAGACCCAGAGACTGGTTTGGCTGGTTTGAGCTGTTTCTGGCCAAAGGATAAGGGATATCTCACACCCTCTTTGCCAGCACCCACTCCCTCACCATTGCAAGGTGATCTGTGTCCTAGAGGGCGACCATGTCTTACCAGGCAGCAGCATGGGGGTGAGGACATGTCCCAGTGGGCAGCAGGGCACAGAGGGATCGGAGAAGATCCCCGTGGTGCTGGTGAGGCCCATGAGGCCCAGGGCTCTGCAGTGACACCTCACTGCCTCCACTGCCACTAGAGGCCGACAGTACCAGGGCAGTGGTGCTGCCATACTGGACACCCCAGTATGGGGACACTGCCCTGTCCCTGGCCACTGCTGCCCACACCGCTTGGGGGACCCATTGCCACGCTGGCTCACAGGCCAGCTCTGGCCTGGGATGGTGGCAAGCATCATTCTTTCTTTCTTTTTTTTTTTTTTTTTTTTGGCCTAAATTTATTATTTTTTCTTTTCCCCCCTTCTTGCTCCTCCTCATCCAATTTGTCTTCAAAGCTGACATGAGAGAAAACCCCAAATGACAGCGCCTGGCCGGCACAGTTTTACCACAGTATCCTGAAAAAGGCATCTGGTGAGCTGATAATGCAGGGGGGCTCCGGGCGGGAGCCCCTGCCGGAAGCACAGGACTGGCGGCGGTTGAAGGGCCGATGCTTCAGCAAACAGGAAACGTCCTCAGGGCACACGGAGCTCCTCTGGGGCTGCTCCAGTCTCCTGAGGCACAGCCAAGGC